CACTAAAAAATAGAAGAATGTTAGAAATAATGATGTTGAAAGCCAGTCAGCCATCTTTTATGACGATTGGACCGAACGCAATATTTGATTTTGAAACCAGTGGAATAGTACCTAAAAATTTTAAATAAAATATCATTGATTAATATAATTTTTATTTATGTTTCTCTTTTTAGCTTATTCGATTATCTTTATCTTACATTACGGCATTGTTATCTATCGTACAATTAGAATCATGAACCAAAAAACTGCGATAGTTTATGAACTTGTCAAAAAAATAAGTTTGGACTGCTAAAATCATCAGTAAAACAGTTGGATTCGTGCTGATGGCTATGCTGATAATTGTAAATCCATAATGAATCAACCAATCCATAGAAATCGACCAATTAATCAATCGACATTGACTTCATCATAAATTTGAATGCTTATAGTTTGTATAATTTTCTTGTATTTTCGTTTAAAAGTCTCAGCATATGCGTAATTGCACTCACAAACATATGAGACTTTTTAAAAACAATAAATATGAACTTAAAATCAACCTATTGTACAGCAATTTTTCAATCTTCTTTCAATATTTATTAAAATCAGGTACTACATTGACGAGTTCTTTAGGAATCGTTCGTCGCGGTACGGTCCCAATTCAGTTTAGCCACTGCAGTTGGGTTGATCGCGCTGCTGCACCCAGCCGATGCACCGAATAAATCAACGATGTAGATTTTTAAAATAAGGAGATCCTGCGGGAGAGGAAAAGAGATAACGAAAAAGAAAAAAAAAGCAAAAAAAAAAACCAATCGAGTAAAATCTCAACTCAGCAAGATATTTTCATCGCGCAATCGAATTTTCTCTCACTCTCTCTCTCTCTTTCCACGTTCTCCTTTCTATACCCACCACTCTGCGCTATATGTTTAACTCTTGATTCAAACTCACGTACGCACATTGGCAAACGAGGCCATGTATGTATATATAGAGCTGTGTCGGTGTGGTGGCCTGGGCACCTCGAAACAGTACTTTCAATAAATGCTGTATGCTCTCGTGCACTCCCTTACTTCGGGGGGCTCGGAGGCTCTATATATACACGTATATACCGCTGCTGCTGCTGCTGCTGCTGCTGGGGTTGGCCACCCCGGGCGGACGGAAAATAAAAGAAACGAGTGGGTGCGGCACCAGCAGCAGCAGTAGCTGAAAGAAAGAAAGAAAGAAAGAAAGAAAGAAAGAGAGAAAGAGAGAGAGCAGAGAGATGGGAAATTGCAGCGGACTTCGATCTATCGCCGAGCAAACGCTAGAATGAGATTAAAAGAGGATAGACGAGATTAAAAGGTAAAGCTTTTACCGCAGAGCTCAGTACGTATAACGTAACGTACACACACACACACATACTCACACGCACACGTATATATCGAACGAAAATCTGCAAGTGCGCGTGTGTGAGAGAGCTAACGCGTATCGTGGATATCGTATAGCTGACGTTTTACCGTGATTTCTTTTATGTATAAGATTTTTTTCGATTGTTAAAAATAACCAGAGGCCAATGCGCGTACAGCCAAAGGATAATGAATCGTGTCACAATTATGGGTGAATCCTTTTAAGCGTGTATATACCGTAAAGGCCAAAGCTCACATTTGTATAACTAATATTTTGCTTCTATACGTTTTCTTTTCTCTTTATATTATATATAAAATAAAAACCACATTCGCGAACAATGAAACAGTCGGCCCGGTCCGGCCCGACATAACGTTTAAAAAAGAAAAACCTCCTTTTTCTTCCATTCTGCTCGAAACTAATTTAATCAACTGCTTGTGTAGAAAAGATAGATATATATATACATCGTGCAAAAAGAAGAAAGTTAGCTCGAGTGAAAAGTGCTGGTTTTTAAAATGTTTGACGTGTACTCCAGCCCGAGCCCGAACCCCCGAGTCCGAGGCCGAGCGATTGAAATAATGAGGTTTCGTATTATTCGCGAGCTCTCTTCCTGCTGGGCACATTCATAATTATCATACAACTACAATAATGCTCGGGCTTGGTGGTGGTGGTCCCTCCACGGAGATTAAAAATTCAAACATTTACCCGTGGAAATCGCGCGAGCTCTTGACAAAACCCACGAACCAACGGGGGGATCCGCAAATATTTTTGGCGGAATAAGAGAGAGAGAGAGCAAGAGAGAAAAGGAGTAGGTAAAAATTAAATAAAACAACGTATATAACGTTTAACCGCAGCACAATATCCCGAGGAAAGAGAGAGGGTTGAAATCTCGCGCTAATGCGCAGTATAAATATATCGTCACGTCGCGCGCAAAACGCCGCAAACGAACAAACCGGACGACAAATCACGAGACACATAGCAGCAGAGAGAGCGAAAGACGAGAGTTGGAACAGCAGCAGCAGCACGTGGTACATCAAGAGACCTCGGATATCCGCTCACGTATTTTTTTTTCTTCTTCTTTTTTTTTCGGGTTTCACGTGTGCGCGATTCTCAAAAGATGTTACACACGCGCGACACCGGTGCAGCCCAGTAGCGGATTTTACCTCTCGTGCTACGTCCTAGTTATTATACTTTTGTCTCGTGCGTCACGTCATATTCATTTAATATATAAGAAACGACGCCATGTTTACGTGATGCTTTGTACGAGCTATTGAGCTTTTTGATAGAAAAACTGAGCTTTTAAATTTCAACGTGACATATATAACGATCCTTTCTCCGTACGATACACCAATTTATCAGGACCGAGAATCAATAAATCAAAATTCCTTTGAATATCGATAAAAGCACATAATCCAATCAAACGAGATTTGCTCTCTCCTCGATTACGTACGCAACTTGCGCACACGTTCTCCTTTCGAAAGCTCATATACCCAAAACGAATGAAAAAAAAGAAGAAAAGAAAGAAACGTTGAAAAAAAATAAAGAAAGAACGAAAGAAAGAAGGAAAAGGAACAACGAGTCAAGGACTTTATTTGGAACAGCAGCAAAGTCTCGTGATTTGTCGTCCGGTTTGTTCGTTTGCGAGGCGCGCGCGCGTTTTCTGCAAGCTCTGGCGCGCGCGCGCGCTATACGTGCCGTTAGTCGTTGCGACGTGACGATATTTATGTCTTGGACGCTTGTTACGTACGAAATATATAGTAGCAAAGCGAAGGACGAGGAGAGAGAGGACAATGTATACATTTTTCATACGCGCGGCGCGGAGGCAACGCCGGAAAAAAAATGAAGTTTCACAATGAGATCGCACGAGACGTTAAACGAGAGTGGAGGAGGAGGAGGAAAAAAAATCATATAACTAATGCATAAACTGCGTTTATCTTACGCGGATAAGAATAAGAAGAAGAGAAAGAAGTAGTGGAGCGGTGCAGGAGACGAAAGAGAAAAAAAATTTAATATCGAATATCAAGAAATGCCCTGCCACCGAAAAAAGTTTTGGAAAATGAAGGGGGTGTGGAAAAATATAGGGTAAGCTGGCGAGCGTTTCCATACACACACGCGCACACACACGGACACAGACTTCTTTTTAACTTCTCTCACGGGCATGTAATTTAAAAAGTTTCGCTCACCCAATGCCTCGGCCTAGTCTCAGCTCTCTCTCTCTCTCTCTCTCTCTCTCTCGGTGTACAATAATAAGTTATCCCTGCTCCATTATCCAACGAACGAGCGGCTCGCTCGCGGTTACGATAAGGAAGAATGACAGAGGAAAGAAGTTTTTCGAGCGTGTGCAGATATACGAGTGTGGTGCTGCAGCCAGTTATGACATCGCGTGGCCTGTATTACCGCCCAAAATAATAATGATAAAAAAATAAGAAAAAAAAAAAAGATACGTCGCCGATTCTCGCGATGATAATGCAAGTTGTTAAACGTCGGGCCGTTGCCGCGATGTATCGATGAAAAAGTTTCGCCGCGCGGAGCTTCCCCAAAAACAAAGCGCACTCGCGAGAGAGTATCGACAATCAATAAAGAACCAACGGTAAAAAAAAAAACGAGAAAAATAAATAAACAACTTATATATCTGTGTATGTTGTGCGTACTACACAGCCACTCCCTCTCTCTCTCTCTCTCTCTCTCTCTCTCTCTCGCGGCTGAACTCATTCCGAGATAAGAAATGTATACCCGTGGCCTCTGATTGAAATTGAAAAGTAAATTATTATAAATCAAAATTTATATCCTCTTCTAGATGCGAAAGTTCACGAGGAAAGGGGGGGGGCACACCACTGCCACCACCAACAAGCGCGCTCGGCCAAGTTTTATTGTCTTTGCTCGAGTTGTGTATACTTCTGCAAGAGAGAGAAAACTTATACTTCCGCGAGAGTATACCGAGAGAAAGAGAGAGAGAGATCTAGAGCTCTAGAGAGATTGATCGAGCGGCCCTCATTTCAAACGAGCAGTGCAGCAGCCAGCAACTCGCTAACTGTATACGAGACAAGCCTCGAGATTTGTTGTGTGTGTGTGTGTGCGAACTCGAATGCAAGAAGGTACATATACACGTATTTACAAGAACTCACGATGAAATTTGTATTTGCCTGCTGTAAGCCATGCTCTATACGCGGAGAAGCTATTTTTGGCTTATGTACTTTCACTACATTTTTTTTCCGATGCTGTTAAATGATAAATCGCCTCTCGTAGAAATGCTCGATATTAATTATGGCCTGGTAACCGAACAAAAAAACATCTCTCAAAATTCATTGCCGCTAATTGGTGCTGTTGTTAGAAATATCGAGTCAAATGGCCTAAAACTGATGATTCGACTGTTTCTCTACATTTAGAACGGTTGTCAACCAATTCAAATACGATGTAGTATCTGCCACTAGAGGGCGAGTAACTTTTTCCGTAAATCTGCAAGTGCCAAAGTCAAAATATAATTGTATAAGTACTGGATTTTCGTATAATATAAGAAAGTTCGTTCTATGCTGTAGCATTTCTTTGTAATAAAATTCAAAGAAAATTGCTAATTGTTTATTACGCCGGAGATGAATAGTATAATTTCTCTAATAATACATGTTAAGTATAGAGTTGCTCTGTTGACATAAATTTTCCCAAACTTTCATTTCACGATTTGTAAATATTGTCACGATCAAGTTACCTAGTTCAATGTGTATATCATCGTTATAGAGCCACTAGTCGTTGTTCAAATTCCAAATGAGAAACATGGACTTCAGTGGTGTATATAACTGTAACGTCAGGTAATTTTTATTTCGTGAGAATGATATTTTAAAAAAATTTTAGTGTTATACTTAATTTCAATGTGAATATTGCAGAGTGAAGGAGGAACCAAACGATGATTCCCCGATTGAAAATGATGATTATGAGATAATTGGCAATGCACACGATGCTAACACCGAAGAATCCTCGCGTTCTGGTCGAGAAAATTTAGTAAGTGTTGATATGGGACTGCTTATAGCTGACATTTTTAAACAACAATTTTCCATAATCTTGAATTTAAATTATTTTTCTAGACTCATGGCCCTGACGATGTCGAAGTAGAATTCGAATGTAAGGACGAGAAGCTCGGCATTAACTTGAAAGAAATTAAGGACGAAGTAAAAGAGGAATTGAATTTGGATAGTAAGCTGAGTGATGCATTTGATGCAAATGAAAAAACATTTACCCAAAAAAGTCAATGCGAAACCCGCACCGATAAGGTACATAATGGTACCAAACATACGTGTGAGATTTGCGGAGAGAAGTTCTCAACTGAGGCTACACTCAAGATCCACATTCGTGCAGTACATAATGGTGTTAAACATAAATGTAGTGAATGTGGAAAGACATTCACACACAAAAATACTCTCAAAATCCACGTCAATGCGATGCATAATGGTATGGCACCTACATGCAAAATATGCGGAAAACAATTCACAACTAAGCCCTCACTCAGGATCCACATGGATGGACATAATGGTGTTAAACATAAATGTAGTGAATGTGGAAAGACATTCACACGCAAAAATACTCTCAAAATCCACGTCAATGCGATGCATAATGGTATGGCACCTACATGCAAAATATGCGGAAAACAATTCACAACTGAGCCCTCACTCAGGATCCACATGAATGGACATAATGGTGTTAAACATAAATGTAGTACATGTGGAAAGACATTCACACAAAAAAAACATCTTAATAAACACATCGATTCGATTCATAATGGTATGGCACCAACATGCGAAGTGTGCGGAAAGCAATTCACAACTGAGGCCTCACTCAGGATCCACATGAATGGACATAATGGTGTTAAACATAAATGTAGTACATGTGGAAAGACATTCTCACAAAAAGGAGATCTTAATAAACACATCGATGGAGTACATAATGGTGTTAAACATGCGTGTGGTGTATGTGGAAAGACATTCACACAAAAAGGAGATCTTAAGATTCACATCGATGTAGTACATAATGGTGTTAAACATGTTTGTAGTACATGTGGAAAGACATTCACACGAAAAAAAAATCTCAAAATCCACATCGGTTCAGTACATGATGGTGTTGAACATGTGTGTAGTATATGTGGAAAGTCATTCGGACGAACAGGAAATCTCAAAATTCACATCGATTCGGTTCATAAAGTTGAGGCAACTACTTGCGAAGTGTGCAAAAAAAAATTCAAATTCAGGAGTGAGCTCAAACTCCACATGAATTCGGAGCATAATATCACTCACGTATGTGAAACGTGTGGCAAGACATTTTCAGACAAGGGTCGTCTTGTAATTCACTTTAACGAGCTGCACAGAGTTCACGAATGTGCCTTTTGCGGGGAAAAATTTGAAAACAGGCCCAAATTACGTAGTCACGTCAAACGTGAACATAAAAGCGATACCCAAGCATGAGATCAATGCAAAAGATCTTAAAACATCCACCAATGCCGCGCAAAATGAAAAAACATCGAGACAAATGAGGAGCCATAAAACTGTCATCGAAGTAGCACATCACTCACGCATTAACACCCAATAAATGTATAAAATGTACATTGAAATTTTGTCAAAAAACATAGATTATTATATTTTGGATCACTCACCAATGTTTTCCATCTCACTGCTTAAAAAACGATCAGTTTTTAAAAAAATCAATAAATTTAAAAAAAAAAACCATAATGTTTCATTTGAATCAACCTACCTATAATTTTTATCAATCTGTACAGTTTTTTTAAGCATAAAAATCATGAAATGAGGATTTTTGCAGAAGGTGTATCTTGCATTAAGTGTCAAATTTATTCATCATAATCGCCAGCTTTTTATTTAATAACAGATGAAGTATAATGCTGAGCACTCATGCACACTCAGACGCGCACCTTACCTTCCCGATATGAATTTATATATGAATTTATATATATGAATTTATACAAGACCATAAAAATTTAAAAATAACGTTACACTTCTGATTAGTATGTATTCAGTGCTAATAGCTCTGCCATGTCCAAGAAATTTTCTCGTCGTCCAAAAACTAGTCACAAAATATCGAGCACCACTACCATAGAAATTATCTCGAGAATATAGGATAAAATAATACTTACAGTCGTACGAGAAGTACACAATTATGTGCGACGCGTACATTATCATCCGCTGCACATCGCGAATTAAGCCTCTGCGCGTCTGAGACGTCAAGCGTCGCTATATCCTCGGGGGGACACCCTTCCCCCCTGTGATAGTAGCTATAATATAAATTGTAAAACGACAAGAAAGTGTATCGCATCGCAAACGAGAGATTATCAAGCTCGCTTACGCGTTCGTGTATTCCCGCATGGTTCCGAGAGGAAGAGAAAGAGAAACGCAACGACGAACGTCGTTGTCAATTTTTCGCTCGGTACACGGAAAACGATCGCCAGCCATAGCTATATATGTGCACAGTGCACGCGCATGAATATAATAAGTACCGCAAAATGAGAGAGCCAGGAAAATAGCGACCGCGGCGCGCACCGCAAAACGGGCAAAAGGTACCACCACCACTACTACGGTAGAACGAGATAAAGCCCCTACGCTCCGGGCCTGTATATAACTTTACAAAGTGTACACACGGCGCATTTTGCAGCCGGAATATGCGAGGGTCTCCTGCGGGGGGGTCATTACCGACCGCACGGGCAGCGGCAGCCGAAAAAACTTTTTCTTCGTTTCGTTCGTTCCATTCGCGTTAACTCGTTCGCGTACACGATAACGTCAAAATTATTTACGAATCAGGAACAAAAAAAGAGAATTAGACGCAATAATAACGATAATGTAAAAACGTATTCTCTCTCCCGCGCGCAAGAAATTACTTCACGCGCTAATGACGCGCTCGTATCGTGCAATACGGCTTAGTTCACCGAACGATGAAATTCACTTTTCCATCGAATTAGCGTCGTTTCTTCCACCTCCCGCGCACGCGTGCGCGCGCGCGTATTATAACGTCGTATAAGAAATTGGAAGGATTCCACCCATTAGCAGACTATATGCTACTATCTGCACGAGTCTCGCAGCTACTTATTATTATCATATAGATATGTATATTACGTATATGCTCGCTGTACGAGGAAAATAATGAGGATGTATCTCGTATCGCGCGCGCATTACGGATCGCAAATGAGGACGCGCGATTCCGCGGTATATAGAGCCGGGATGCATTTTACCGCGGTGAATTATTATGCGCGCATCGTGCTTAAAATACGATACTATTCAATTCGAGTTTTCGAGAGTACATAATTAGAGGTAAAAGTACTGCCATGCGCGCATCGATTCCGCGCAACGACGATATAATCCCTTTGGTGTGCCGCTGCGCGCGCATAATTTCGCGAAATAAAATCTATTTCGTGGGATTATGTTTACGCGCGACGATTAAAGTAGGAAAAATAAAAAGGAATTTGTGGAATCGTCCTGGGGAAAGCTTGGCTCGAATTAAACGTTTGAGAAATTGGAAAAAGTTATCTCTCGTTATCATTTGTCCCTTGTCTTTGAGGAATATGGGTATGGTTTTGTCAGCTACGATTAAAAAAGTCATGAATCTTCAAAATTCAACAAATTTTATTGTTTTTATTCTTATTCCAAACACAAATTCACGTTTTATTTATTATTATGTACATTTTCATTTTATAATATATAATATAATATGTGATTCACATTCTCGCAAGGATGGCACGTAATTGACGTAAATACAAAAAACGAGCGTCTGTATTAAATATAGAAAAACTCCGGCGAAATAAATAACCGCTCACTCATATCGGTAAGGATTACACGATAATTGTTATTATATCAAAAAATAACATGCGTCAAAAACTGTACAATTCGTAAATCGTTACATCGTTATTAATTATCGTACATCGTAAGTTATATCAATAATCAAGCAAAAGTGAATGCGTATAATCGCTCGGCTCTCGACGATCTTCGTCGTCGTCGCAGCAGTGGAAACGATCCAGCGCCACTGGGCACTCACTTTTTTTCATTCGTGCGCGTCGTTGTTGGGCCCGATGACGCTGATCACCTCGTCGCCGTCGTCGAGACTGCGTCCATCAGTATGCCGAGGATCAGATTCAGCATGAGTACGATCATCTTGAAGGACCACGGGGGTGCTCCGGTCGTTTCGTTGCTCCCGCTGGACTCTGCGAACACGTCAAGACGTACAGTGCGACTCGATAATTGCCTCGTAAATTCTTTATAAGCGACGATTGAGTTTTACGGGGTGAAAAAAAATTACGAAAAATATATCCGAGAGAAAAAAGCCCTCTCTTTCGCTTTTTTCGTTGTTTTCAACTGCACGAAGAAATAGTAAAGGAATGTAGAGAGAGAGAGGCGAGTGCAGTAAACGATAGCTATTACAACAACAACGTAAAAAAAAGGAAAGAAAGAAGGAAAAATTGAAGAAACGTGCTTTCTGAAACTTCTAAAGGGAAGAGAAGATAGAAAAGAGCCTTAGACGCGGATCATTAAATTCAGTTTTCTTATACTCTGACCCGAAAGCGATCCGCTAGAGCGAGAGCAAGAGAGAGAGAGAGAGAGGGAGAGATGTTCTTTGTCGCGGTAAATGAGCCGCAACCTGTATGGCGGAGTAAAGCAGTTAATGCTGTATATACGCCGAGGAAAAGACGCGGAGAAAGAGAGACAGAGAGAGTATTATAAGACGTTGTTAACGTAACCGTTGTCTCGTTATTGTAACGTTGATCGCATTACCCGCGCCGCGAGTTTGTGAAATGATGCAATTATCGATTTGCAAAATTTCGAGTTTGACTAAAGATAGAGAGATGCTCGACGTTTCGTACTTTCAACAACACCTAGATATTTTTCGATCCAATCTCGCTTTGACTTATGCAATTATGTTTACTTTGCTACTTTCAAATTCGTAGACGAAGGCACTCGCGATCTAGTGGTTACATTATAAAAACGATCGGTGTTAAAACATATTTGTCAAAAACAAGCCCAGACTTATACAATTATTTCGACTTTGCCAGTTGCGGATTTGCTGGGAACGATACTCGCCATCTAGTGGAGAAGGCTCAAAGTGATATTATCGTATTTAAAGTTATCACATTTTTTTTGTCATTTTCAGCGCCGTTTTAAAATGCGCTCAATAATTGCAACACTATTCTTATGAAAATTTGCGAGTTTAAATGTTTTTCATAACAATTTAAACGTTCACTTTTCCATCATTAGGCCACAATAATCGATGTCGAGCATTTCTACCAGACTTGGTTTCTCTTCATTCATCGACAGAGAGCCAGAGAAAGGTGGAAAAGTTTAGCAATTTATTTCGAGCCTCGTGCCCGAGCTGTCGATCGCGCGCGCGTGCGCGCCTAATGTAAATATTTATAGACAACAAGCAAAACTGCGCGCGCCGAGCAAGTAGTACGAGTCAACGCGACGTCCGGCGCGTGTAAACGGCTCTTTTGGTAAACTATTCATTCGCGTCCCAGTATGCGTATATACTCTTTCCCTCTCTCTCTCGTGTACGCACGAGTGGGATACGTCATCAATTCGATTGAACCCGAAAAAGAGAGAGAGAGAGAGAGAGAGAGAAATGCAAATGCGCGTTAAAAGCTATAACGAAGCGCGCAGCGTTCCATCCTAATTGAAGGATTATTAATGCATAGTACGATCCACGCGTGCGTGAGCTCGCTGCGGTACACTCCGGTATTCTCTCTCTCTCTCGCTTTTTCCCTGTATACTTTTTCTAGGTCACCGTGATCGATGACCGATGTAAAATTACATATGTATAATGTACTCACGATGGCTGTGGGGCGAGGCGACGGAGGGCCCGTCCTGCTGCAGGTCCACCGTGCTCGAGGCCTTGTACACGGGTGCGATCTCGGCGAAGCAGCGCAGCCTCAGCCGATAATCCTGAAACAGGCCCTGCGTGTCGAGTTGGAGCCAGGAGCGCGTGCGATGCCTGTCGTCGTCCTGCACGTGCAGCGACTGCGTGCGCACGTGGAATTTCATCCGTCGATTATCCAGCTGCGAGCACGGACAGTCGCGCGATGTGGGTATAAATTAAACTTTATTCATGCGTGTACGAGCTGGTCAATAAATATTTACCGGCTTTCCGTTGACGGTCCAGGTGACGTTGGCCGCGGGCCTCGAGGCTCCCGAGGTGCAGTTGGCCTTGAGCGTGTCGCCGTCCGCCAGACGCTGCTTGTCCACCTGGATTCTCGGCTCCATTTCCGGGACGTCTGATCAAAGACAATATAATTACAACAAATAAGTAAAAGTTAACTCCGTAGGGAGAAAGCAGCAGCAAATCCTCACCGACTACGAAGATGTCGGCCTCCTGGAGCTTGGTGTCGTAGCGCGGCTGATCCTCCGACACCTCGCACTTGTATCGGCCCGTGTGCTTTCGCCGCACGTTGACCAGCGTCACGTCTTGCATATTCGATCCCGATACCTGCGTACGTGTATTTTTTTTTGCAGAAGCGGTAAAAAGAAAATTCGATATAAATGTAGTCTCGGCGGGGCCAAAAAAAAAAACTAACTAAGTAAGCTCCGCGAGGTATCTATATCTATACAGAGGTATACACCGGCGAGCTTAAGGAGACCGCCCGACAGTGACAGGGTCTTTTCTCTCCTCCTCCTCCTTACCGAAGAGGGAAAAACTACTACGCGGCGGTAGCGGCAGCAGCGCTTCGAATAAAAACAGAATACAAGATAGTGTACAAACGAGGTTGGAAAAAAAAGGAAGAAGAGCGAACGAGAGAAAGAAGTAGCTCGATACACCCCGTGTACACGTGAATACCTTTTACTCGCTTAATAATCTACTCACGTTCGCTGCTCTCTCTCTCTCTCTCGTTTTTCTTTTTTTTTTTTCTACCCCGCTGTGTTTTTTTTTTTTCGTCGGCTTTGAATCCCGACATATTGCTGCCGTTGCTGCTGCTGCTGCTGCTGCTGCTGCCCTGGAAATAAGCTCGGGGAGCAGCAGTAGCAGCGTGAGCAGCGAGAGCAGAAAACCTAATTTTTTTCCTTTTTGAGAACGTGTTTCCGGATGCGCGCGCGGCGCTGCTGCTCTGTGATATACTTTCTTTCCCACCCCACCTTTTTTTTTATTATAACGATACAGCTACGATATGCATAAATTGGTGCTGCTACAGCGGCGGCAGCCACAGCAGTGCATTATTATATATGATATACTCACGTTGACCTGTATGTTGCGCACGGGGAAGGTGTCGTGGGGCGGCTGCTTCTTCGGCACGAAGCGATAGAACTCCTCGTCCTCGAAGTACCACTTGATCGCGTAGAGCTGGGCGTCCTCGAGGTCGTAGCTGCAGGTGAGCAGGGCCGAGTCGCCCACCCTCACCCGCTCCGGCACGATTATCTTGAGATTCTTCAGGCTCGTCGTACCTTTAAAAAAAATGAGATGTAAAAGAAAATTTACAAAAAAAAAAGGATAACAAAGTTTTGTTGGATAGAGAGAGAGATAGAGTTGTATTAATAAAGCGTGAAAATGCAGCTGGCCGGGCGCGTCTATGTCATTTACGCCTCTGTGTGCAGAAGTAGCCTCGCGTAACAACTCTCTCTCTCCCTCTCTCGTGTATATAAAGCCCGAGGATAGCTCGCGTCATATACTAGTAGTTTTGCGCGCACCCCCGAACTCGAACTTTGCCGAGGAGTAAGTATATTATCCTACTATACTGCGTCTATGTGTGTATGTGTGTGTGTGTACGTTCGAGAGCGTCGAGCAGTGCTATAGCTAGCTAGCTAGAGTAGAGGTGAAACTACTTCCTCTTGCCCTGTGGCTTGACGTTTTAACGCGGGTGTGTGTGTGTGTGCCAAGTGTGTGTAGATGCTGCTGCTGCTGCTGCTTCTGCGTCTATCCTTCCTCTCTCTCTCTCTACTGTCCGCCGCAGTCCGAGTTCTCACTCAATGCCCATAACAGTTTGAAGCTCGTTTGCTCTCTGTCTCTCTCTTACTCTTACTCTTGACCACACGAGCTTCTCTCTCTCTCTCTACGCGCGAAGCTGCTGCTTCGTCATATAATTATGACGCATATACATATATAAGTGGAACTGAATTTTCTATGCGGGTGTGCGTGTCCCAATCAGAGTTACGGCTGTGCTAATTTTTTTTTTCTGCCTGCACTTCCCGCGCGAACCTCCCGAATTCGAAGAATTTCAAACTTTCGCGAGAGCGGAGGAGAGTAATTCATTTAGAAACGCAGGGGGATTTTCAAACTGTGAAATGGAAAAAGCAATAAAAGCTCCCGAACTCTTGAAAAGTCCGGGGAGTAGTGGTGGTGGTGGTGGTGGCACAGAACAGCAACAATTTATACCGCGCGCCAACGTATACAGCGTTAGGCAGGATGCGCTGATAGGAGGGAAAAAAAGTAAGGGCTCTTTAGAAAATTATTCGTAAAGCTCGAAAGAAAAAAGGAAAAAAAAATGTCTCTCGCTCGTTTGTCTTTTAGCGTGTGTACTTTCTAAGCCCTCTGTGCGTGCAGCAGTTGGTGTATTTTCTGCATTTTTACGCGCACGGCGTGTGTATTGTATTATCTCATCTTTTTAATCTTGGAAAAATCATGAGTAAAAGTGTCGTAGATAGCGTTACAGGATTGTGAATGGACGTTCGAAGTCGTCGAAAGTTGCAAAATTAATTGGAGCAAAAAAGTTTCTTGGTCGTGTGAGTGCCGTCAGAACTCGATACATACTAATCAGTGTAACGTAAAAATATAACGTTTTTTTTTAAATTATATGTACACGTAATACCGCGCACGATTTTGTAACGATCATTTCTTAACAGTATGTATAATTTCACACAGATCACTATTTAAACACACTTTTTGATGTTTAAAACGCCAATTAAATTAAATTTATTTTTTACAATTCAATTACATTATTGTTAACTGTATTTGAAACGAACCTAATTGCGTCGCATTTATTACCAACATTAGGAGAGATTCTAAGAACAGTTCCGATTTCTTCGATGGATTTTTGTTTTGTTAGTAATTGTTGTAAAACCAGAACTCGTACGCCTATAATCGCGCTTCGACTTATACAATTATTTTGACTTAGCTACTTGCAGATTTACTGAAATAAAGGTATTCGCCATCTGGTGGTGAAGTGGTGATCTAAGGTAGTATTATATAGTATTTGAAGATGTTGAAAATTGTGTTTTTTTTTCAACAATAATGATGCGTTAACAATTTAAGATGACGTATTATGAATAAATCGTAATTAGTAAAATTGTTTTTAAATTTCAAACTAAGAAAAATTAGTAGCATCACGACGAGCTGGATGGAGCAAGTTTTATTAAATCGGAGCTTTTTCGATCTAACTTCGAATTCGTTTGAATGTCAAAAAATTCCCAGCTTATACTACGTCATTATACTAATGTGTATAGATATAAGCTAATACAAGTCTTTGGCAAATTATCATAAGTGTTGCGTGTACTTTGTATTTCTATCGCTAGATGTCATATTCAAATCCAAAAGTGAAAAACCGAAGTTCATGATTTATTATCGATCGCTGCACGTAAAAAATATTCATTGTAAGTGTCAATTCCTGAGCAAGTTTTAGCGATGGGCTAATCGCGTATACACAAACGACGACAGGCGTGCAAGCCCAAAAGTCAACTTATCACGCGCGAACGATACGCATCGCTATATAAGCGTACGTACATATATATACGATACAGCACGTCACATATTACGGCCATACATAATACTCGGGGCATTAATGTATTATGGAAATAGGTAAATAGATGCGAACAATAAATAAAGCGCGTAGGCCTATATCGCGACGGTAATTCCAATTAGTGAGGGACGTCGAGGAAGTACAATCGAGCCTACCCCCACACTTATACACACACACACACATCTATATATACGATATATATAATACGGCCGGAACAGAGTCATGAGTTTCCATTAACAGGTTACATCTCCGGGGAGAGGGCGGGCGGGCAGAATAATAACACGGGCATATTACAATAGATACAGCGTGTTATGCGCTTGTATAATAAAACTGATTTATCGATTTCGTGCGAGGGCAGCAGCAGTGTTGGCTAGCCGGGGCCAAGCACAGAGAGAGAGAGAGGATTTATAATCTCTCCGAGAGCCGTGCGCGAAATTGTGTGATTCCATATATCACCGATCCAGGGGCCATATAATAAACTCTCTCTCTTCCCCCTCCTCCCCAGGAAAATTCGGCTAACTTTTTCGAGTTCCACGGCGATTATTGATAAAAACGCTCGTGTGTGTGTGTGTCAAGAGCCCCATTACTCATCGCGCCGGTCGCGCGCCGCGCCTGTACGTAATCAACTAAAAAGGGACTGTGTACTATATACCGGTGGATGCATTTTTCGCGCGTCTTTTGCGACGCGATTTTCGACTGTGCGGCAGCGATGATCGGGCAAAAAAGCGATAAGGATATACGTATAAGCGATCGAGTTTCGGGCGCACGGTTAAATTAACGCCGATACACAAATATATATATATATAGACTCGTAAACTTTGCCCCGCGGTGCCGTTGCCGAACGACGCGTGAATCAATCGCTTTGAGCTTTCGCGCAGCGTCGCAGTGTGCGATACGTGCGCCGAAGTTCTTTTTTTACTTTTTTTTTTTGACTCCACGATTAAAACGAATCAGGACTTATAATTAATTCGCGCGATAGGTGAAATCCTGCCTCGGAACAAGCGAATTATAACGTTGCTGTTCCGTATAACAAATATGTTGTATCGACGCAATATAATACATAACGGCACGGAGCTACAAAATAAACAAAATTTGCGTCCCGCGCGTCCGACAATTTACATTCGCACGTACACGCGCGCGCGAGTACATCGCATTTATATATATACAATATAGTTCTATGTATATTTAATAATAAAACGCTGCACCTGCAGTACACTCGCACATATGCCGCGAAATAACATCCGGTAATACGGCGGGGGGGGGGGGGGGGGGGNGGGGGGGGGGGGGGGCGCGTGTATACAACGTTACGTACATACACATCGTGTAGGCACACTTACGGCCTCGCGAAATGAAACAAGCTCGCTGCTGCTGCAGAGCTTGCAACGAGCTTAATTAAGCACCAGATAGTATATAGTGGGAAAGGGGGGGAAGGGAGGAGCATTAAATGGCAAGTTAAAGCCACGCATCGAAGCTCTAGAACGGCTCTGCACACACACACGCACGCACACGCACACATACTCGGGCGGCCGACGGTCCAGTATAGATAGCCGAGAGAAAGGATGGTTTAATGTAGGCTAATTAAACATTTACGTTTTATACGCGTAAACAAGCTCTCGCCCGTGTATATAGTAGTATATATAAAAGTAGCTGACTGATGTACTTTTGCGTATATATGCTGTTTTAGTTTTCCAAAACGCGCGCACACACACACACACATTGTTGCCGTCAAGGATAAAACTCTCGGCGTGTAGTGTGCAGTATCGCCGCGTTAAACTTACTGCACAGCATACGCACGGCTCGCGAGCGAGCATAAGTGAATTTTCCACGACTGCGTGTATATCGCGTATACAAACGCATATATACGCACGCATGGTTTATACCGTAGCTCATTTCGCGAATTACACATATATCGCCGAGTAAATCTGAGCGCGAATTATTCCATGTATGCTATGGTGGTACTCTACGCGAGCGATAAGGTAAAAATAGTAATGTGGCAGAGGTACGACTCGAGTGTAATAACGACGACGTTACGAGAGGCCGGAGGTTAATTGAATTAATCTTTTTTATGATTCTTCCTTTATAGTGGAGCGATGTAGATTTGTTTTTCGCTAATGTATCTCGTCTCTCGAGCAAGAGTCGTATTTGTAACGAATGTCGTTTTTTCACGGATTACATCACCGTGTACACATAAACTTAGCTCGGATTTTCTTTCTTTCTTTTCCTTTCGCGTCATATACTCGAAGACGTCGTCGTCTTCCAATCGTTTTCAGGGCGTACGCGCAAGATATCGACAGAGAGAGGCAGGCGGCGGCCGTTTCAACCGAATCGCCTCCGCCGCGCCCGATAAAACGCAAATGACCTCGAAAGGGCGCCGGGATAAATGTAGCGAGTCTCATTCTTTCATCGCGATAAGCGGGGGATATGGGGTATGTGTGTGTATATAGAAAAGAAAAACGAAAGAATAAGTACAACGTACTATCTACTGCTACTACGAGGCTGGGCTCGACGTTACAAAAAATTAATTCGCCGCGTCGTTGCGATAAGCGATTATCGTCGTCGTCGTCGTAGCTCGTCTCAGGGCATAAGGGGGAGGCGCAGAGAATTTCATTTATCAAGCTAGATTGAATTTTAGTCAACATTCTGGAACGTGACTCTTTTTTCCTTTTCTTTTCCTCGGGCTCTTCCTTGCTCTGGATCTCGGATAGAGCGAAAGAGAGAGTGGGGGGTAATAATCGAGAAGTTTTCCAATAGTAAGCAAATTGCGTGTACGCTATGTGCTGCAGCGCTTGATGAATGGCGCTGCAGCACAGCTCCGGAAGACGGCGGGGCGAAGTCTTCGTTCCTTCGCTCGAAGCAGCAAGAGTAGCTGCGCTACTGCCGAAAGCGAGGAGAGTAAGAGAGAGAGAGAGAGAGAAGAGGAGGAATTAATTCATTAGAAGTTGAGAGATCGCGAGGTGATCACTTCGCCAGGCTCGTCGTCGTCGTAGAGTAAAATAGAGGAAAAGAGCGAGAGCCTTAGAACGCGCGGCTCAACTATGAGCAGAGAGTGAGAGAGAGAGAGAACAAGAGTGGCCATCTTACATTACTCTCTTTCTATATGTCGAGACGGCAATTTGGCTATATATATACCGGAAGATCGAGAGAGATGCAGACGTTTGATTTATAGATCTTATAGCCCGAGCTTTTTACACCTTGTAAAAAGTAATTTTTTTTTTCTTTTTTTTTTTGCCTCATCCACGGAAATTATTAAAGGCACCATAGTTTCCAATAAAATGAAGCTGCAGAGTAAAAAAAAAAAAGAATAAAGGAAATTTGTTTTACGATAACGACGGTGAGTGAGAGAGAAAGAGAGAAAAAAGAGAGAAGATGGTTTTTATAGACACGTTTATACATTTTACATCCTCTCCGCTGGCAGGAGTCTATAGAGAGAGAGAAAGAAAGATACATAGCGATATAATATAAAATGCGTACGCGCGAGTAAGAATGGAAAATAGTATACATATAGTTACACTATATGCAGCGGCAGCAGCAGGAAGAAGAAGTGCGGAATACCATACGGAACGGAAAGCTTCAATAAGGTTTCCAGTCTTTGGCTTCGCCTGCTCTCTCCTCTCCTCTACTCTCCTCTATAGTGTATATACCATATATGCGTATATATGTATAGGAAATTGCGGACGAGGTACAGTTTTGCGGTTCTCGCGTACTCGCTCGCTCGCTCCGCTCCCGGGCAAAACGGTTTCGGGAAAAGCTTAGCCGCTCGCGAGCGTATAACGCACACACACACACACACGTATAAGCGTAGAGCGATAAGGAAACTCGAATAAGGTATAACGTATACCGGGGGGTAGCAGCTACTATACACTAGCTTATATACCGCGCGCCGAGCTGCTTTTACGTAATGCCGCCGCCGACGCCGCTTCGTCTAGGCTGCAGCTTGCAGCTCGCAGCTGACGCTCGAGAACGCGGCGCGGCAGTTATTTTCTACGGCGAACGCTAGGTAATTGATATTACACGAAAGAAGAAGAAGAAGGAAAAAAATGTAAGAGAGTAAGTAACTTCGGAATCGGATGGAGCCGCGGGTGCTGATTTTTCGTCGATCGACTCGTGTGCGAGGCCATGAAGACGCGCGCGTGCGGTATTTATAAGAGATAGAGGAGTACTACTACCCTGTAAATGCGTAATGAACGATTTCGCGGCTTTGCGAATAAAATAAAGGCTCTCTACTGCGCCCGACGAATTCTCGCATCTATTATATACATAAATCTCGTTTCGCGCTTTTGTTCGCGCGCGCTGCAATGTACGCAGAAAAAAAGCTCCTTTCTTTTTATATTCTAGCCCTGTGTATTAAAATTTAACGCGCCGCGAATTCGACGCTTTTAAAAAGTACCGCGCGCGGCAACTTTGTAATTAACAAAAGCACGTAGCAGTTATTACCCCGAGCTGCAGCAGCAGCAGCAACGGCGGTGCGGTGGCAAGTTTAATTTTAAAAGTTTTTTTTGAAAAAAAAAAAAATAAAGTTCGCTGAAAATCGAGGACTTTCGCCTTTGGGAATTAAATTTATATTTCGAATTAGGATTATAATTCGATAAGTCCTAACGATCCGCTGTGTGTGTCGATAATTTTTCCTCGGCGTTCGTACATCGCTGGAAACGGCGCACGATTAAAACGTATTTCACTGCGTACGCGTACGCAAAGCATAAGTAATTTTGCTTAGGCGAGGGAGTAAAAAAAATTAAATTTATTTTCATGAATAAAACGTTGCATGGAATAGAAGCATCTAGCTGCACTAGCATCGGTGCGATCCGCGAAGAAAAGAAATCGAGGCAGACACACGTCTGCGCGTCGATGAGAAAGGGAAAAATACATTATAGACCTTTGACTGCGAGAAAAGGCGCAGTCACGTCCCGCGTAAGGAAAAGTCCGTTTAACATGCAAAATCCGACGATCGGATTACTTTTTCCATCCCTCTGGAACGAAGGCAGGAAACATACGTTTCTATGCTAATGTAGCTGGGTGGAACCCGCATCTGGCCTACTCTTTGATAGTTTGGGTAAAATTTCGTCTATGACTTACTGCTGACGAGGAGAACGAGGACGAGACAGCACGAGGACAACAGTCGAGCTGGGCCCGATGAACTGCCGCGACTCGACCGCGGCCACATCCTTGCGGCAAAAAGAAATTTTTTCGCACTTTTATCGTCTGCACTCGGAGCACCAACCGAGACCACTAGCCGAGCACATGATAATAAACAACAGCAGCAGCAGCAACAACAACAACGAACTGTGGTACACTGACACCTCGAGGAATCGGCAGATAAGAGTTTTGAGCGTTTACGTACGGAGGATAGGTATAAGCAGCTCTCGAAGCGACAGCCGAGTCGCGACTGACTGACTGACTGAAGCTTCTCTCGCATCAGGGGGATGCTGCGGCGGCTGCTGCTGCTGCTGCTTTGGCGTCGGCGATCGCTGAAGGGCGCAGACTCGAGACCGACCACCCACTCGAATCCCACCCACGCGCGATCCGCACTGAAATTGTGCACACGCGAGTCATCGGCCCAGCCACTGCTGCTGCTTCCTTATTATGTGTATTTGTATAGCGATCGTCATCTCATCAAGACGCTGCACACGTGCCGATGACTGCGGAGAGATGCATGACGATCAACGCGATTGACCCTTCGCACGTCAGATTTAGCCGCATATTGGGGAGTAGGATGTGTCGTTTGTTTCGCGAATCAATTCCGCTTCTTGAAGCTGTATGAATTATATATAAGGGCTACTTATGCTGAAATAATGATTTAAAACATCTCCATTAATAATTTTAAAATATCTGTTATCGAGTTTAATAATTTATTACATAAGTTGAACGAGGATTTATAAACATGTAACTATATTATTTCTGCAACAAAAGTTTAATTTTAAACTTTATTTTATCAAGTTGCGTACTTATTGCAATTAACTCTCGACAGTTTTAAACATAACTTCGAACTCGCTGATCTTGAAAGCGCGTGAAACGTTTGTTCAAATTATCAGCTTTCCAATTTGGGAATAATTTCGATCTAAATTTTTTTCTGTTTTGTTTCTACATTGCACACGTCGAGCACGTAATTTTGAAGTTTATGAACGATTTAAAATATATACATTGGATGAAAACTTTTTAATCGGTTATTTACAAAAATTTATTAAGGTAAATAAATTATACAGATTTATACAGATAAATACGTATTAATTTCAATAAACATAAATTTAAAATTTGTAAATAATTCATTACAATTATTTTGTTTTTTACATTATTTTGCACTGTACTACCAGGCAGAGTAATTTTTACACATTTTTTCTTAATTTTGACCATTGGCCAGCAGGCACAATTTAAACAAATCTTCGTTCGGAAGCTTCTCGACGATGATTTCGCAGTGGGAAATTGGCAGTCGATAAAGAGTCAGTGCCAAGAAAGGCACCAATGCCAATATCTTAAAAAATCTTTCCATCATCATATCGCAGAGAAGCAAAGCGTAAATCTCATCTGTTTGATTTTCATCCATCTCCAACCTCCAGTCATTCGAATCCGCCAACTTGAAGTAGTCCGCGCACGCGAGTAATTTTGTCGCCTCCTCGGGCCTCAACTTCAGCAGATCGTACAGTGACAGGCTCGATGTCACCATGATTTCTTTTGCTTTTACAGTGAACTCATTGTTACTGTACAGATATCTCACGAGACACGAACGTTCTGCGGGTTCCAACGACATCTCCAACAATCCGCGACGAACCAAAGCTGTCACGATGGACCGAACTTGGCTCACGTCGAGTGCGTATCCTTTTTTCGCCAGACTCTCGACTACGCTCGCAACTCGAGACGCTTTTTCCCATACGGACAGAAAATCGGGGCCGAAATGGAATAACTCTTCGTCGATCTCGTGCTCGGTAGGTAAAACTAGGCTGGATAGATCAGCGCCAAGTTCCAAAAGGAAATCGACCGTGCGCGACTGAAACCTCGTCACGGCGCATCGAAGCGGCGTACGGCCCAAATTGTCTTTCGCGTCGAATCGCACGATTTGCCTCCTCTCCTCGAAGATCCTGAACAACACCTTCGCCCTGTAATCTTCGACCTGGCTGCAGATCAAGTGAAGAGGAGTCTCTCCATCCTCGTTGGCTTCGTTGATATTGGCGCCTCTCGCGAGCAGCGACTCGGCTAAGTACCCCGTTCTGTTATCCATGGCACAATGCAACGGCGTCCAGCCCCGGCTGTCCTTCGCGTCGATAATTCGCAACGTTATCTTCTCCTCGTCGCAGATCTTGAAGAACATCTCCGTCCCGCCATCCGCAAAGGAAAACCTAGAAACTATGTGCAGAGAAGTTTCTCCAAAAATATTGGCTGCATTCGGATCGGCGCCTTTTCTCAGCAGCAATTCGACCAAGTCTGCGCGCCCTTCTCTCATAGCCTCGTGTAACGGAGTGTGACCGTACGAGTCCCGGGCATTGACCATCCGAATGTCCTCGTCCATCTCCAAGATCATCCTCGCGCAGTCGATGTCTTTGCTTGCCTGGCAAATGAGATGCAGTGCAGTCGTTCCATCCGCATTGGCCTGACTCGGATCGGCGCCGGCTCTCAGCAGCATCACGGCCGTCTCGCAGGTGTCCTCCTGCAGGCCAAAACTCAAGAGCAGCGGCGTATCGCCCGCTTTCGGCCAAACGAGATTAGGATCGACTTGGCCGAACTTGAGGAATTTCTCGACGACGTCGACGCAGCCGAACTGACAGGCCGCGTGAAAATGCGTGTATCCATCCTCGTCGATGTAATTCAAGTCGAACCTGTCGTATATTTTAAACAACTCACGGACCGATTCGTCGAAGTGCATTTTAGCCGCGTAATGGAGCGGTGTGGTCCGATGCAGCAGTGGATTTCCGTCCTCGTCGAGTTCGGGCTCGTCCTTGTAACCGGTGCTGATCACGAACCGTATGAATCGATCGGCCAGTTCGTCCTTGCTCCCGTCTTCGAGATCGTATAAATTTACGGAATCCACGAGAAGCAGCTCGATTTCGTCTTGTCGAAAGATATCTCGGAGATTCGGATATCCGTCGAACTCGTCGATTTCGTCTTGTTGAAAGATATATCGGAGATATGGCAATCCGTCGATCCAATCGTCTATCGAGTCATCGATTCGATCGAGCAATTCGTATCGCTCGCTATCGTTCTTCCAATCGACGTTTTTCCGCATGGTTTTCAATAGCGAAATTTTTGAATTTTCTTCTTGAGCCATCGCGATCGATTTGTATGATATTTTCACCGCGGTCGATACGATTGTTCTGGACTGTTTACTCAGCGGCGCCTTTAAACGACGTCTGTCGCGGTACTGCCGAATCGAAGCACCCATCGAAATCCTCTAAGCAATAACGTAAACACGTATCGTACTACGCAAAGCTAAATTTGAAATTTTGAATTGACCGACCGAAGCTCGTGATATTATCTTACGCTTAAATATACATTTTAATGCTAAACACGGCGATATACTGACTAATACGACTTTGTATCGATCGTCGATGACTCAAGAGAGAGAGAGAGAGAGAGAAAAAAAATGCGTGACAATCAACACACGGATATGGGGGAGTCGAATCTCTTCGTGCAGAGATGTCCCCTCGCTGATCTCTTGTGTCCACGCACAAAAGGATACACTCCGCTCGGAGCTCGGGTGTATCAGCTGCCGTGTGCTACGCTTGACCTACTTTCCCGCGCAAAGGATTACACATCCGAATCTTTCTCCGTCGTGATAAATAAGAATCCAAATAACAAAGGCTCATCTACTCTAGTGAGCGAATTTGTGTGTCGACCTTTCGAAATCAATAGCGCGTCCACTTATATATATATACGATATATACATCCACTTTTCACGCTTCAATCCCATACGCATACGTGCGCGGGATATTCGAGCAACTTTAGGAAATTGAGTCGGGGGCTCGAGACGAGGGTGGCGGGACGGGGCGCCGCGGTTATACCCACTCACCCTCTTCAATTCTCTACGCACACATACACATACGAGCATGCCGCCAACGTCATATAATAACGTCATCAGAGCCCGGCGGGAGCCGCGCAAAGAGAAGTACATGTTTGGTTTACGTAATCTTCTATATGTGTAGCAGCTTGAGTCATATTATAACGGATGAGCCGCGGCGCGTCGTCGTTGAAATAACGTCGAGTCTGAGATAATCGCTCTATCGGCAAAAAAAGAAGACAAACAAGAGATCAATCGACGAATGAAGAGAAGTCTGTATATAAGTGATCCTGCTGACAAAGGTGTGTATACGCGCATTTTCCGTGCGGGCAAAAACCAAACGAGCGAGAAGAGAGATCGAGAGGCAAGAGACGAGCCGGAGGCTGTAAACTCGACCGGTAGATAAAAGCCAATTTAACTTTAAACGAATCAATGTGGCGATAATCGGGGCTATTTATTTCTTGATTAAGAGATTTAACACATTAATGTAACGATCGCTCATCCCGCACACGTTACAACGACGACGACGACGACGGTTCCTATATGAGCGTAGGGTAGAAATTATCGCGCCTCAAGCGGACAAGGTCCGCAAGTTGAATTGCCACCTCACTCGTGGAGTTCTGTGCCTTGATGATAGAGAGGAGAGGAAGCTTTAGTATATATGCAGACGAGTCGTCGGCGGCGCGCGAATTTGCGAGTCAAAGTCGCTTTACTAATAAACGGCTTTCGAGTTCATTGCTGCACCCCCTACCTATATACCTACATACATACATATAGCATCCACACACACACACACACACACACACACACACCCGTATGCGCGCGGGTCCTATTATTAAATTGAGAATACGTTCGTATAGATATATATATGAAATGCACCGTAGCGGCAGCAAAAGCAGCGACTTGGCTTTTAATCCAGTATACTATCGCCGATCGACATCAAAAGGCTGTGTGTGCCGCCGCTTTACATTCCATATATAGATGTGTATTATCTGCGCAGCTGCGGGGTGCAGCGCTACACGACCGCGACCGAGAGAGATGCAAAATCAGCGTCGTAGTCGTCTTCAAAATTATTCCACCTGAATAATTGTCGTCTTTCTAGCCAATTATTACGTAAGAATAATGATCTCTGAGACTCTCGATTTACGCACTCGAAAATCTCGTGCGGCTTCTTTTGAGGCTTAAACGTGTATCCGGAGTTATGTTATATATACATAATGCAGCGTAATACCGAACGATACACCACGACGCGCATAACCGCGGAATAATAAAAAGTCAACCGCGCGAGCGAGTTTTTCCTCCTTTCTTCTTTTTCCTTTTACCCCCAAACTGACACGCTGATTTACGTTTCTGTTGCCACCATAGCAGCAATAGTAGCAGTAGC